AGTCATTTTAAGGTGTAGGAAAAATCCTATTTTTATCTGATTGCTGTTCATGATGTGTGCATGGTAGGTGCATATTAAAAAAAAAAAAATCCTATTTCTGTTCCAAGATTAAGAAAATGTTATATTTCTAGATATTTCCCTTAAAGTTATTAGAATATGAGCATCCATGTTAAACTAATTGATAGAAGGGGAGACAACTCCATTATTATTTCAACTATTAAACATAACTTTCCTTCTTCGGTGTATGATTTATACTCTTAAAATAATTTACCTAAACACACGCCCTAGCTTTTATTATAAGTCGTGAAATTTAATTTAACATATTAGGTATATGTGAACAATATATTAAACTATTGTGTGCACTGGTTGTCACATCCCGGCTCAGGGCGGACCACTTCCCAGGCCCGCTCCATCACCGTAGCACAATATTATCCGCTTTGGGCCCCGACCACGCCCTCACGGTTTTGTTTCTGGGAACTTATGAGCAACTTCCCAATGGGTCACCCATCATGGGAGTGCTTTGGCCACCTTCTCGCTTAACTTCAGAGTTCCGACGGAACCCGAAGCCAGTGAACTCTCAAAAGGCCTCGTGCTAGGTATGGATGGGAATATACATTTAAGGATCACTCCCCTAGGCAATGTGGGATGTTACAATCCACCCCCTTAGGGGCCCGACATCCTTGTCGGCACACTTCCGGCCAGGGATTGGCTCTGATACCATTTGTCACATCCCGGCTCGAGGCGGACCACTTCTCAGGCCCGCTCCACCACCGTAGCACGATATTGTCCGCTTTTGGCCCCGACCACGCCCTCACGGTTTTGTTTCTGGGAACTCATGAGCAACTTCCCAATGGGTCACCCATTATGGGAGTGATCTGGCCACCTTCTCGCTTAACTTCGGAGTTCTGACGGAACCCGAAGCCAGTAAGCTCCCAAAAGGCCTCGTGCTAGGTATGGATGGGAATATACATTTAAGGATCACTCCCCTGGGCGATGTGGGATTGATTCCTTATTTCACCTGTTATATTGATGCATCTTTATTATGTTTTGATGCATAGCATGGCATATTTTCTCAAAAAGTGTTAAAGACTTGTGATTTGAGTTTTGAGATTATATATGGTTATTTATATACTATTTTCTGGGAAAGTATACAGGTTTTACAGCGAGGGGTTAGAAATGTTTTAAATGAAATGTTTTCGAAAAACTTTTATTTGCGCCCCTCTAGGTTCAAGATAGCAGAGCTTTGGGTGGCCACGAGTAATCCAACGATGTTCTGACAGAATTCACAAAAGTAGGATTCCCCCTCGGGTGTTATATCTTAGTAATGGTGTCTTTAAAGCTTCCGAACTGTGTAAATGGTTACGTCACTCTCACGTGACGGCCAGCATGCCCTCCTTCAGGACGGGGTGTGTCACTGGTGGATCCATGTAGGGACCCTTCGGAAGCCCGAAGAAACACTTGTGATCGACCTTCGAGACCCTCCAACAATTTGGGCAGGTGCAGTGGAGAGGCTTGTTGCCTCCATGGATGTGCAGGCAGCAGTGCTTATAACAAAGAAAAATAAGAGGTTTTTAATTTTTTTTTATAAAAGACCTAGCCAAAACGACTTCATTTTTCAGCCTAGTCATTATAAAAAATTTAAAAACTAAAGTATCTCTGTTTTCTCTACAAAGCCCGAGAGCCCCGGTCTTTTCCAATATCCCCAAATTATATTTAAGAACCCCCAGCCCCAATCGTCGCAACCTTCCAACTTTAAACCCAAGTTACCCTATTCCCCACCACCATTTGCCATTCTACCGCCTTTAGCTGCCAAATTTAATTTCTTCCAAATTCATATAAGTTTTTTAATTCTAGACTTTAGTCCCAACTCCCAATTAATAAGATATATGTTACATTAGCAAATTTTATCTTTGTAGAATCACTAATTGCGTTATGTTGTTGATGAGAATTTGTTGGTTTTATTACCCTTGAGATTAATCTTGATTTATTCAATGAACCAAATTCAATAGAAAATAGTGATATAGAACCAAATTAGTCTAATATATTGTTTTTTATTTTTAACTTTTATGTTGGGATCCCCCAATTTTGAAAACCTAGATCTGTCACTGATTGTGTGGAACTACTGTAGGAAGCTGCTAGGCAAATTAAGTCGGTGGAACATGACAAATTAGAAAGAATCCAGATATGAGATTTCAAAAATAGAAGAAACTGTTGTATGAAGATGCGCAAGTAAATTGACATGAGCAAATTTTTTGTAGATTTTTAGTGTTCATCGGCTGTAGCTACACAACCTACAACAACCCCTTACGTTTGTCCCCACAAAGCATAGAGCTTTATTAATATTTAATAAATCACAATATTTAACCTCATTAAGATGCAGGCTTTTCCTTGACATATTATCATTTTTTAATAAGCCGGAAGGAGAATATCTCATTCCGAATAGTAAACACCTCCATTGTCTTTGGAGCAATTCCTTACCAATTAATCATACATGCAATGAAAAGAAATCATTCAAATAGTATATTCTCAAGAAGGCTACTTAGCTCATTTACTTATTTATCTATAACTTACAATTTGACACATGAAAAAATAATTCGTTAAAACGGATAAAATTCTAAACGAATACAAAATTGCGATTTATTTGTAAGAAGAGAGATTGTGAAGATGTAAAAGCTAAAGAGTTCCACAGAAAAAATGAGAAATTTTGCAAGGACTTATAAGTAAGTTTGGCTATTTCCCAAATTGTCAATTAGCTTTACGATGTAATCCAACTTTCTTCATGGTAAGAGTAGGTTGGTCAACTGTGAAGCCCAAAGGCCACTCCACGTCGCCCATTTTGTATTGTCCATATGCATAGTTTGAAAATTCTCCACACGTAAGGAGGTGTTTGAGGATGTGAAGGTTAAAGAGTCCTATGTCGGTTAAAGAAGAAACCTTATAAGGGCTTATAAGTAAACTAAGCTACTCCTCATATATTATCAATTGATTTTATGATGTAACCATAATTTTTTTATTTTTTGGAGACAATAATTAGGTAGAGGGATCTAAATATTTTTCTATTATTCTCAAGCCATGTAACTTTATGCTGTTGGTGCTATAAATAGGGGTTCAAGAAAGCCATATTGTCATGCACCCAAATTAGAGAGCAAAACCCAATAATATTTTTAGTCAACTCCGCTCCCCTCCTAGCTAGCACCCTCAGTTCATCCTCTCTCTCTCTCTTACAATCTACCAAAAATGCAAAACAAGGCAACCGTTGAAGCTCTCTACAAGGCGTTGGCACAGAGCCAAACAGACACAGTGGGAAAGCTTCTAGCCAGTGACCTAGAATGGTGGTTCCATGGCCCCCCAAAGAGCCAGCATATGATGCACGTGCTCACGGGGGATTCCAGCCACACTGACTTCAGGTTCGAGCCCAGAAGCATCACAGAGATTGGTGGTGGTGTGATCATTGCTGAGGGATGGGAAGGGGCAAAGGCCTACTGGGTCCACGTGTGGACCCTCAAAGATGGGTTGATCACTCAGTTCAGGGAGTATTTTAACACGTGGCTGACTGTAAAGGATCTGAAGCCGGAGGGATGGGAGAGCTTCACTGTGTGGCAGAGCATGCCGAGGGACCTGTTCCACCGCTCCTTGCCAACCCTATTGCTTGCTATTTAGAATTTTAATTAGAGTCTTTGATGTTGTGAATTAGCAATAAAAAATATGGGATTTGAGAAAAATAAAGGGTACTTGTGGTTTGTAGATTTGAGTTTGAACAAGGCATGATTTGGATGTGTTGAGAAAATTGAAGTGATGTAGTAAAATGGAACTACTAATAAAGATGTTTCCAAAACACAACTTTCGTTCTTGATTAATGAAAACATCTTTGGTAAAATGTATTTCCAATCATTCGTTATTCATAAATTCAAAATTTTACTTCTGAATATAATATGAATGCCCTCGATAAAGTTATAAAGTGATATGTGTAATGAGAATTTCACATGAGAAGATACGTCTATTGGCCAAGAGGCATGACTATAGGAAAATGGGTGTTAGTCAGAGTGAAGATACACCACTTCAGTATGTGAACTAGATACAATTAATGTACAAGGAGGTAAACCCTTGGATAGATGGTTACACCCTATAAAGGTTATATCCATGCAACAAGAGTTACACATGTTGAATGGTAACCTTCAGTTGTCTATAAATAGGTTTGTAGTCAAAACATTTATTTTCTCCCAACAAAATAATACAACCGAAATTCTAAGATGTTATCCCATGTTAATTTCTTCAAAATGGGACCATTTATTTAATTGTTTGATGAATTGTTGATGTCTTAGTTTGTACGATCCTTTTAATGATAGGAGTGTCCTGCACTATAGGTTGGTGTAGAACTTATTTCTGGAGCTTTAATTGGGGGATTTTGTGAGTAGTCATCAAAATCATACCGACTCCTGTTGATAAATTACAAACAGTGATTTAAACATTCTCGGTTTAGTTTTTGTTGTGCGAAAGCACACCAACTGGTCACACACACATGAGTCGGTATTGCCAATATTCTCCTTACTTTAGCCACCCGAGAGTAACGGATAAGAAGTTTTACTAAAAAACCTCGACAAGTGTGTAATACCATTCCTTATAAAGCATAAATGGCTCTCCTCCTTAGCCGATGTGCGGCTCTAATCTAAGCCACCAAATTCCAACAGTTTTCAGTACCTCTTTACTTGATAAAATAAGAAAAGGGATTTCGCCACTCCTAATTTAGCTTTCGGTACCTTCGGTTCTCCTCTACTAAAATAAGGGTAGTGATTTTGCTACTCCCAATTTAGCTTTTGGTACCTTTGGTTCTCCTTTGATAGAATAGGAGTAGCGATTTCGGTACTCCCAGTAGCTTTCAGTATCTTCAGTTCACCTCCGATATAATAAGAGTAGCGATTTTGGCACTCCAAGTCCTTGTTTACTGCACTCCAAATTGCGTATTTTATAATTTTTCTACACAACAATAGTGCCAGAGGGTATGATGGAACTGAAGAAAATAAAGATGCAGTAATTTCATATTTCATTGCAACACACTACAGGTAAAGATGATTGAAGACATGAGGCACTGATTAAAACCAGAGGATATGATGGAACTGAAGAAGCATATACGAAGATACAAAATTTATGTATGTTTATCAAAATCACATAGCAGTGCCAGCACTCTTCTGAGAGCTTCATCAGTAGTTCATTCCTTTTCACGTCTTCGGTTCGATTTTTTCTTCTCTCTGTATTCTGGATGGAACAGGGGGTTCCATGGGGAGCTGTCTGTCTACATTAGGGTAATCTTTTTCAACTCTGCTTGAAGGTAGATGATTTGCGCCAGATCTATATTGAGTTTTTCCGCTTTCACGCCGCAAAGGGACTAGTGAGGGATTTTCGTGCTCAGACATTTGCTTCCTGCACAAGTTATCTTCCATTATGCTGTAGAAATTCGCAGTTCGAACTTCCTGAGCTAGTGAGCACCAGCAGCAGAAAAGCCATTGTGCACAGTCTGTTACCGCAGGCTTTCCACAGCATAAGTTATTCGCCGGCAAGTTGAACCTCTTCCTCATTTGGATTCTCCAGAAGCCACCGTACAGCAAGCCAAACATACAAAGGACAATGCCGGTTATAGTCATGGCTTCTCTTGCAACGTTGTTGTCAATATGGAAGGCAGCTAAACTGAGGATCCAAAATGGGGCTGTGCAGAAGAGGAGAAATGTTGCAATGTGAACATACATGTTGCCAAATCCAAGCCTTTTGGCGTTCCATCCAAAAACACAAAAGGTGCAGAAAAAAGAGAGATAAGATATGGCAATATCTTCCCGAAAATCAAATAAACCCCCTCTCCATTGAGGTGCAAATTCAGCAATCCCTTGCTCATTCCTAGATGCAAATGAAAATTTCCTCGTTTGATTTGTGAGAATATGATCCTGCGATTCGCTATCAACTTCGTACTCCTTTCCAAGGGGGCTGACAATGCAGTACACACCTGCGATTGCAGGAGCAGCAATTGCAACTGAAAGGCAGATACCGACACCAATAGCCGATCGCTCAGATCTTTTGTATCTCAAGTTAAGCGTACACAAGGCATACTGAGCAAAGCAATTCAGATGGAGGAACGCAACAACAACCAGAATGTGCATCCGTTCATGGGGCTTGTAAGTTCCGTTCTTACAGTATATTTTTCTGAGAAATGTGACATCTTTCGGCTTCCATCTTAAGAGAAGTACAAGGTGGTGGATCCTTTTCGGGTGATGGTAAAGACTCATGAGAGTGAAGAGAGCATTGATGATTTGATTGTTAATCTCAAACCACTCATTTCTCTGAGACTGCGCCGGTAGGACATGGTTTAACATTCCTGTCATCACAAGAAAAAGGATTGCTCCGGAGACAGCAACACAACTTATCCACAAAAGGAGTGCCATATTCAGAGGGTTCTTGATCCACTTTTTGCATATTTTCCTCATGGACTCCCAATCGATCTTCTGAGAAAGAATCCCATTGAAACGTTTTCGAAAACCTTGGCTATTTGAAGAAGGTGCGGTACTTGAGATCTCGTCTCTTGTGCGATTTTTGTCACTAAGTAAGCCGTCCCTTTTGTGATGTCGAAAAACAAAGAACATTTTTGTCATCAGCCTTGTAGCCATCTTAGTGGTACTCCAATCTCAAGTGAACCAACAGAACCCCGATCTACAGACTCTACACCAGCATGCTCATTCGTCGTAACTGCAATTTAGAATGCTAAAACCAAACTGTACCTCGATCGGCATCTTTTACATGTTCATGGAATCACGATCAATACCCTAAAAATAACACCAGATGGTCAATGCCAGAGTCCCAAAAATCATACGACAACTCATGGGTGCACATTCGACATTTCAGATTGTAACCCCATCTCTGAAAACCAAAGATACAGGTCATAAAAATTACACGAAAAGCAAGCAAATCATGGAAACTTGACCATCCCAAGAAGCTGATGAAAAATTCGAACAAACAATGGACAAAACTTTAAAAAGAAGATTACAAACTATCATTCATGGCGAAAGAAAATCGCTACGACTTCTACTACTACAGTTGAAGCTGCGGTGAAAACCAACAATTGAAATCCAGAAAAAGAGAGAATTTTTACCTATCAATTCAATGGATCTTGCTGTGGCTACTGATGATCAGAGAGGAACAGTGGAGCACATACAGACGCAGTGCATACGTTGATGTTCAAATTTGTTGTCTGTCTTCTGTCATCAGTCTTTACCAAGTCCTTCACAAGCTCCGGTTTTTCAACTAGTGACATATGCCGTCCGGTTTTTCAACTAGTGACATTTATCTGTCAGGGATCAGAAAAATATCTGCACCTCACAGACAAAGCAAAAAGTGAAAGAAAAGTTGCAAAAGGTTACGTTGCAATATTGTTTTCTTTTCTTTTGAAAAAAGAGAGATTGAATTTCAATTCGAAAGTTTACGCCCGCGCACCTGTCCGGCGGTCCGCATAATGTTTGGCGGGACCCCCAGACAACAAGTAAACGACGTTATTGGAGTTGTTTTAGGAGTTGGTTTACCCGAAATCCCTTCGACTAATGCTAGATATATTAAATTTGTAAATAAAGTTTTTAAAATTAAAATATATGAAAGTTGATGATTGATTTATTACTTAAAAATTGATAAACATGTTTATTCTTATTAGTGACCTATCATTTAGTTTGCAAATTTAGTCTTCCTAGCATTATTCAATGCGTTCACAATCGTATGACGTTTTGTTCACGAGTAATGTTTGGCAGACCAAACTTTTTAAATCAAATTTGCAAACTAAATGATGTGGTTGCAGATGATTGGATTATTAATTAAGTATTAGTTAACGTGCTTGTTTCTCATTGGTGACACATCATTTGGTTTAAAAAATTTAGTCTCCCTAATATTACTTTTTTATCACTAATACATTATTATGTACAAGTTATTTTAGATTTTACTCTAGGCTTGATGTCACTTTGAGGGTAAAGGGTAAATATTTTCTTCGGATCCCTTCCATTCAGATCCTTCAATTTTCTGCGTTCTCCGATGGATGTTGGCTTAGGTTGCCGACCCACCGTGCCCACACCCACACCCACACCGTCATCTTTCGGCCTCCGGTTGCCCAAAACTCCAATCCTCTCAGATAGAGAGCGAGTGAGAAACGAAAAAAATAAAAAAAAAAGTTAATTAATACCTAGCCGTTTGATTTTCGATTAAACGAACATGATTAAAAAATTTGAAGGATCCGAATGGAAGGATCCTCGGAGGATCCGAATAGAAGAATCCGGAGAAGATCCTATTACATCACGAGAAAGTCTACTTTTTCAAATCCAAATCTTAGTGGTTGGCAACTCAAGTGGCACGTGTCAACCCAACAAGGGATCAGATCATAGAACAGATGCGGTGATGACATCTTAAAATTAGGGTGTGATTATATTCAAAACGAAAGAAGAACCCTAAGATGAATGCAAATGTAGCCTGAAAAATTCATTAACAATCCAAACGAGAAGTTCGGGAAACAAAAGCTCAATTATAATAACAAGATTAGCAATCTGAGTGTAATCACAGTACCTTATCCGTCAAAATAAATAAAGAACACCAGAAAAGATATGAAAACGTCGTAAAATTTGTATTTTGTAAAAGAAACAAACATCACAAAATGCATCATCTAAAATTACTTTGCCTCAGATTAGTGAAATTCTGATGCTTCTTCATTGATCAAGCTTTTGCTTTAATTAAGTTCGTTTTAGGTAAATTACAAACATGGATATATATTGACTGAACAAATACATATGCTGCTTTGGATAAGTTCACAAGTTGAGACCTGAGAGGGGTACCCTCCAACCCAAACAAAAGGAGTTTATCAAGACGAAAACAATGGAGAGATATCGACAAAGATTTATTTTAAAGTATATATGGTCCTCTCTGATGCCAAATCGAGCAGTGTACGGAAAAACTCGTGAGGGTACATCGGTGGTTCCTCCGCTAGTGCCTGAAAATTGAAATGGACCAGAAAGAAGTCTACCTAGTTAGAACTTCCTACTTCTTCAGTACATGAGCTCACTCTAAAATAGTAGTTCATTTGATCATCCTCTTTTCAACGCGTTTTAAACTTCCTCAATAAGTTTGGAAGACCAATTCTTTTATTACAGATAAAGAGTGTTTTATTCGAACAATTCTGTGTTTCCTTCCTCTCATGCAATGCAAAACCAAAAAAGTCTGATTTAAATTCCGTAGCAGGTTCAAGAGAATATTATTGATGCAAAGTAACCCTCGAAAGAATTTTTTTCAGTAGAAATAGAATACCTGGTGAATCAAGACCGTGGAAGGCGTCATTCCAGGCACTGTGTTGACCTCTATCATCAAGACCTTTGGAAAGAAATTAACAACAGATGAAAATGAGTTAGCAAATAATGTGCGCACAATTTTTTGACTCCAAACTTGATCAGTTAGGCAGAGAAAAAACATCATACCTCTCCACTGTCCACGTTGACAAATGCATCTATTCGTGAAAACCCTTCTAATTCAAGAGTGTTTGCAATTATTTCGATATGTTTTTTACATTTCTGCAACGCCTCGTTGCTGATTTAAGAGGGGAGAAAGAAATCAGAACAACGATTCGAACAATCAAAAGCACAAAATGGAAAATATCTTTTTAAGTCAAACACGAGAGAGGGACGAAACACAATAATCAATCTAGTGTGGAAATTGAATTTTAAATGAAATCAGTCACTTTAGAATAACGTCTGAGAATGACACTGAAACATCTAACATATGAGAAAAGGTTTTACTGCCCGTGTATGGAACTTTTCTACAACAGTTTCTACCCTTCTTTGACTCAAATAACAGAATGCAGAAAAACAAAGAACGAAGAGCACCACTAACAATAATGACTAGAGAATCCTCTATATATATTATTGTGTAAAACATAAATTACAACATACTCAATAAAAGGAACCCTCATTTCCTGAAAATAAAGGTTCTGGACAAACCTAATAATGGATGATGGAGGTGGAGTCAGATTGATGCCAGTCCCACCTGCCAAATGCAAGTGACTTATCATTAATGACATTTTAGCAGGAAACTATCAAGGGACAGAGAAAACAATGAACAAAATATTACCTTGGAATTTCTCCTCGAGCGTCAAAATGTCACCACTCTCCCTGACAGTGATGCTAGGAGTCAGTGAGCGCATTGATCCTTGTTTCCCAACAACTCCAACAGTTATTTCAACCCATCTACTCTCTCCGCTCCACAAGATCTGATGCCCCTTTTCATTTCTAGATTTTGATGATAAGATTATATTATCGGTCTCGATAAAAGGCTCGAAGATTAAGAGCTCTGGAGGGGGGTTTGGCATCTCAATAGTTCCATGTGCCTACATGAAAAACCAAGATCAAACTTGAAGGTGGTATATAATTTCTGTAAAATGGCTATATAAAATTACACAAGCAATACGTGTGTGTGTGTGTGTGTGTGTTATCCATAAATCGTATCTCACCAATTAACATTACCTACTGATCGTCGATAAAGACGTTAACTTTCAGGACAATAAACACTTAGTGAAGAAGAGTGGCAAGGCTTGTGAATAATCAGAGGAAGCCAGAGAATGGAAAGACTGTTGAATTAACATGGGTCTCAATCACTTAAAGGCAGTCAAGCAAAATATTGTACTGCCTAAGGAACATGCTACACTCGACTTTCTCATGGTTACTGAGAATACTTGCAGCTAACGTGGAGCAATGTTTTGAATGAAAAGAGTTGAGTGGTGGTTGTGGAGTAACAACACTATTACATATCATACGGTAAAAAATAATATAAACGAACAGTCGTAACGACTATACTGAAATGAAACTTCAGAAAGAGATAGAGGCCACTCTGAGAAAATCTACAAATAAACCCTTTTATACCTTAGAAAAACTATTAGGAGGAATCCGGTGAAGACAGTCTTCCAATGCTTTTACATACACCGAAAGGTCTTCAGCACAGCTGCATGCACAAACAAATTTGACTGAAAGAGTACATCATAACTCCATTGCAGACAAAGCAATTACGGGATTGAGTGCATAAAGAGCTTACGAGTCTAACGATTCAGTACCATTGAACAGAAGATGAAAATAAGGAAAAAGTAAAACAAGATAAACCTACCATAACCTTGCAACCCCCGTTGAGCATCCATCTCTTGCAGGTTTAACACATAATGTTGCACAGTGAAGCTTTGACGTCAATTCATGCCATACATTTGGTGTTGATGAACTAATGAGATCTTCTTTTCTCCTCAAATCTTTGTTGATAGTAAGAACTCCCAAATCCGACAGCTGTTCATTATAAAAGATCAGAATGCTTTGTTAGGCAGCAAGATACATGGGTCATATAAAGCACCAAAAATATCAACAAAGTCCAATTCATCTTCTTGGACATTTAATTATGAATTAATTAGCATACATGATTAAGAGCAAGCGATGTTGCAAGTTTGTCCATACAAATCTTTGAAGACATCACTCCAGGACCTTCAATTAAAAATTAAAAGGATGGTTAACAATGAAAACAAGACAACAAGGTCCTCCTAAACTGAGTGTGGATTAGAATAAACCTGTATGTGGAATCCCTTCAGCCTCTAACAATGACTGAAGTGTGCCATCTTCACCAATGCCTCCATGCACTATAAATAACAGTAGATAAGCTCATAAGTACTTTCAAACTTTGATTTCTGAATCTTCTGATCTCTAAGCACAGTTACATAGAGCCTGGTCACACTATTCGGAGAGAATTAAAAAAAATATCACTCTACCACTAGCAGATAATGGGTGACAAAGAAAACCTGAAAGAAAAACTGTAGCGTGAACTTCCTTGGCTAGCTTGATCCACTGTTCAACCGAGAATTTTACAGGCAGTTCATCAATGATATCAAATCCAGTAAACCAAGAATGTTTCTTCAAGCCTTCCATAAGATCATGAACAACTCTGTTCCTTAAGTGAGATGTCAATGCAACTCGGTCTGGTTCAATTGCCTCTACACATGCATCAAGAACTTCCTCTACAGTGTGTCTCAGCACAAGAGAATAACTGTTCACATAGAAACCTAATTAAATGCCATGAAGGAGTATTTAGGGGAAGAGGGCCCTACAATATGCTTTTGTTAAAAACTTAGTGAAATATAAATCATAAGCAGCAATGAAGCTTCACTTCATTCCAAATATTTTAAAGCATCAATGCTCTTTTGGACTGCATTGTTAGATATATTGATTTCCAGGTCTTCAATTGCAGATCACTTCAAGGGGCAAACAAGACAATATCTCAAATGTTCCACAGCACATTTTATTTCTGGTTATAGGAACCTTGTACTTCGAACAAATGAGTAAAACTTCAAGAAGAGAATGGAAAGGCCACATAAAATAATTTATATGACCACTAACAAAAGAAAGATGATATTTCCCCGTCTGTAAGAGAGAGAGAGAGAGAGAGAAACTTACGGTAAAGACCAAACTGTTCTGGAACTCACATCAACTTCGTTTTTGTCAATTGTGGGGGCAAGCAAACATGGAATCACTTCAAGCTGTAGCCAACAAGATTATCAATCTCAGACAAAAACATAATATCATCTACTTGATTAATTAAAGAATATATTCAATGACAATACACTTATCTACAATGTGAATTAATTCTCAATCCTTGATTAAGTACTGAAGATAGTAGGATCTGCTGAAATTTTCAAACACAGAATCAAAGCTTTAATGAAATCTTCCTCTTCTAAATGAAAATGAATTCAGAGTTTGAATGAGTGTAAATGCTAGTTAACTCATGCTTATACATTCACCAGCTTCATATATTTCAAAATAGTATTTCTTTCCAAATCCCCACCCATACTTCTATCCATTGTCTTGAAAGTTTAACCAGTGTCCCCATTCTAAACCTTTCACACCCCAAACATTAGCATATGTAAACCATTTAGCATTGGTAAACTAAAAATCCAACAGTATGAATAGGATACTTACATCGTCAAAAGCTTGCAAATTGAGCCAAACATTTGTTCCGCTGATAAGAGATACTTGCCTCTCTGAAGAGTCTCCTCCAAAAATAACAAAAACTTTACGAGTGTCGTTGCAAACCGGTTCATTACGCAGTGACGTTTGTGATCTTCTAGAAACATGATCTGATGCACTACAAAATGGTGCAAGATTCGGATAACGCATGCAAGCCCGACGAATTATGCTCCTGAGAATATTTGAATGAGAAAGTCCAACCTGAATCCAGAAGTGGGGTGTTCGGGCAAGGTCGTATCACCAAAAGTATTATTGTAACAAGTACTGAAAAACATTCTTAAAGAAATGTTTAAACTTTTCATAACAAATGGTATTGTAGTAATTAATGTACAATACTAAGATGCTAAACAAGACAATCAAAATCAAAGCACCTTCGAGGCTTGCTGAAATAAAAAGCTGGTCTGTTCCATCCCACTAATCTGATGAATCAAAAAAAGACAGTATCAAAATCTAAGAAGAATCAACACTACAATGCATATCATTGAGATTATAAGACAACCCTCATACCAGATTAATGTCAGTATACAATATTGTACCCATCTCAGTCTTTCCGAATTTGCTATCTGATGATGATGGTACATGAATAGAATTAGGGAGAAACCATCCATCAATTCGAGCAAAGTCACGAAGACCAAGCTTTCTGAATAACTGAGATGCTCCTTCTCGAATACTTTCAATGACATCAATAGGAAACCGAGGTGGAGTATGATAAGCAACCTGTTTGGCAATCCATAGACTAAAAATCAGAAAGATGACACAAGAGAGATGTATTAAACATCACACTTGGAGTCAGATAATAAACATTGCATATGAACTATGAACTAACATTCTAACACAGATTGTGTAAGTCTGTAAGTCTACCTGTTGTGTTGGAAGATATTTCCTCCGGTAGTTGAAAATTGCATCCTCATCAACATTGTCATGGAACTGAAGTTCTACCTGGCCATTTTAAAGACTATTATTAATCCAAATACTCCTGGTACGGTAGTACCTATTACATATGTAGTATACCTTCATCTTCTCTACGCGGTGAGGATGATAAGTTGATATTAATTCCAATATGATGAAATGAAGCAAATGCAGTCATGGAGCATTCATACCTCGCTTGGGAGTAATACAACAGGATGGGAATCTAAACCAGAGCCCACATCAAGAACAATTGCTGTAAACTCGCTCCCACCTTCAAGAAATATTTCTACAAGGACTTTGGAGTCAATTCCCTATATACATAAAAGAGCACAAAATTCATTAGAAATGATTTTTACTAAACCCATGTTCTTACAAAACTAATATCAAGATATTGCAACTTCCTTTTTCAGAAAAACTCATATTCATATCAACATGGTCCAAATTCATGTATGCTAGTTAAATTTTTTTTGAAACATTTACAAGAGTTCAAAAAGGGCACGAAAGAAACAACGAAAACTACCTCTGTAATAATTGCATTAGCCTTGCTATAAGTATCAGCCAGACCATATGCAACTGTAACACCAATGCTTGATCCTGCTCGTGCTGGTTTTACCTGAAACAAAATAATAAACATGTTACATCTCGTAATCTGACCAAATAAAAGTATCGCACTCTGGGTTTGTTTACATTACAACACTAGATATGTGTCTTACCACAACTTTCCCTGACTCAACATCCAGTTGATTTCTTGCAAACCATTTTGACAGTTCAGATTCATCTGCTTCACTTCCCTACAGATCATTAAAGTCAGAGAAACTGAATTTTTGGAAATGTCATACATAGTTACATAAAGGGGAGTGCTATCCACACACCCCTCTCAATTTTATCGAATGAATTGAAGAAGATCATTGGCCAAAAATTAACAAGGGTGTATGAATAGCACTTCCCTTACATAAATTATCGTACACATGCTAACTTTTAACTAATACAAATTGGGATAGTACCTGTACTAAGCAACTTGGTACTGTTATGAATCCTTGTTTGCTGAGCTCCAATGAAGCATTGTACTGAGATAACTCAAAAATCACACAGTTATTATCATCTTCTTTCTTTCTTTATCCCTTATACATGTATTAAACAAAAATTATTGTAGATACGTTATCTCATACTTTGTCGAATGCTTGGCAACATTCAATTGATCCCGTGCCCACAAATGGAACGTTATACTTTTCCAGAAGCTCCTGAAACATCATATGTTGAATATTACAAACGAATAAATAGAAAATCAATCCAGAATTGTGTGTGTGTCCCCGTCTAGAAAACTTGCAATGGAAGTAAAGCTTGTACATCAGTATACCTGAATGCCACCATCTTCACCAAATTGACCATGTATGACTGGGAACACTATGTCCACAGAGGCAGCTAGATATTCCGCGAACTCGGGCAAAGACTGGAAACCCTGGGCAAGGCTACAGAGAAACATTTAGACAGATCAACATACAAGGACACCAAATTCCAAAATTAAAGATACAAAAACTCACCTTTCGAGTTTAAAATCGAAGTCCGCAGGAGTGTTTGAGTACATCTATATGAATGTGCAAAATTAACAAACTTTAGAAGAAAAAGGTTACGAAATTTCGAATTAATTAATTAATTTTTACATAAACAAACCTGAGCAGGGGATATTGCAAACGCATTAAGGCCAGCGTCAACGTAATAGCAACTCACATGTATATCACCTCCCTGTTTCAAATTCAAAGAAAAATGTTTCTCACTCTCTACTTCCACTATTTTCTCGGCATCCAAACAGAACCTAAAGAAAATCTAATAACTCTAGTAGTGAAGAAACTCTTACCTGAATGTGATCAAGAACTGATCGAGCCGAGTTGAGAGAAATCCCACGCTCCGCCGAGGGACCTCCGCAAACGACGCCAACTCTAAGAACCCTACATTTCTCCTTCTCTTTCACCTCCCCTTCCGTCTCAATAACTCGACCTTCCACCGCCTCCGCGGTGGCGCGTGTGACTCCGACCCCGCGCCACCGCGTCGTCGAAGCACAACTTCTCCTCAACCGCAAGGAATTGAAGTTCGGGGAGTACAGCACCGAGTTCCGAACGCCGTCGCTTTGCTCGGCGCGAGCTGAAACGAGGCCGGAACCAAATGCGATCGTCGCCATGGGAAATGATCGGCCAGTCGGAAGCGGTAGCGAGTGAGTGGGAGCGAGGAATTGAAAGCATGTTTCGATTTTCTTGCAATTTATTTTCGAATTTTTTAGATTTAAAATTGGTATCGGACGGCTGCAACAGCCAAATTTTGGAGGGAGTACGTCCTGCTCATTGGCCGTTGGTGTTGTCTTTTGTCTTTGTAAATTAAAAAAAGGGGTAAATTACATAGTAGCTCTTCAGGTTTGAGGTCTATTACAACCCCATACAACATCTTTAAAACATTTCACTTTCATACCTCAAGTACTATTTTATTTCAAAATAATACAACCGTTAGATTTTCCATCCATTGATCCGTTAAGCGCTGACGTGGCTGCCACATTTGTGCCACGTGGCAAAAAAATTATTTTTTTATTTTTAAAAAAAAACCTAAATCTTCTAAATAAAAATTTATAAAAAAATTAAAAAAAAAAAAAAAAAAAAAAACCTAAACCTAAACCCAGTTCGTCTCCCCCCCCTTCCATCTTCTCCTCCTCCCCTATCTTCATCTTCCCCATCTTCATCTTCTTCCCCGTGCAACCCAGAAAACAAAAAAAAAAACCCCTTTGCAACCCAGAAAAAAAAAAAAAAAAAAAAAAAACCCCTCTACAACCCAGAAAAAAAAAAATACCCATCAGTTCGTCGTCCCCCTCCTCCTCCCATCTCTTCTTCCCCCGACTCCCCTACCTGCAACCACCATACCTTGAAGCCTTTCCTCTGGAATTGAATGTTCACCAAATGAGGCTGCACACCGTCGGATCTGCAAACCAAGAACAAACAAACAAAATTAAAATTCAAAGATTTCAATATTTTGAGGGATTAAAGTAGGGAAAGGGGAATTGGAGCAAAGACTGCCAGTAGGTGTCGAGATTGTCGTCACGGAGAGACAGACGCCATTGCCGGCCTTGCAGGAGCTGACGCTCCAGGCAGCCTTCTTGCCCATTTCTCTGAGATCGTCGTCGACTACCAGTAGCTGGTTCCCTCCCATCAGTTTCGCATCCTCTTCTCCCTCCGATGACTCCGTCGCCATTGCCTCCTCTTCTATGATTGATTCTTTGAACAGGAATTAGAAGAAAAAGAACCCTAATTTGATCGAGTTCCTAAAACCCAAAAAAAGCCTGCGGATGGGTCATGCGGGGAGGGTGTGGGTATGCTGCGGGAGGGGAGGAAAAGGTTTCTAGGTGGGGGGGAGCTGCTGGGAAGGGCTCGGGGGGAAGGTCTGGGAAGGGTGGGGAAGGGAGGTGCTGTGGTGCGGGTGCGGGGGCGTGGGGGGTAGGGAAAGGAAGTGAGTTTGCTGGGTTGCGCGTTTCTGCATTTGTTTTGGGCTTTTTTTTTTTTTTTTAATAGAAGATTTAGGTTTTTAAAAAAATAAAAAAATAATTTTTTTTGCCACGTGGCACACATTTGGCAGCCACGTGGCACAAATGTGGCAGCCACGTCAGCGCTTAACGGATCAATGGATGGAAAATCTAACGGTTGTATTATTTTGAAATAAAATAGTACTTGAGGTATGAAAGTGAAATGTTTTAAAGATGTTGTATGGGGTTGTAATAGACCTCAAACCTGAGGGGCTACTATGTAATTTACCCTTAAAAAAGAATTAAAAAAAACGTTTAATGTGGTATCTAATTTTGTTTTAGATGACGGTTTTTTGGATTAATTTATAGAAACTAATTAAAAGGGTTTATCCTAATAAAATATTAAGCATAAACACAATAACAATCTAATAATAAGGACAAATCGTACCTACCGGATCCTTTTGGCCCAACTTCCATGATATCGTAATTACGTTTTTGCCCTTGAATTGAAAGGTTTGGTCCGTTTAGCTTGAGGAAATATATTGAAAGATAAAACAAGTACAATGGAGTAGCCATTCGAACGACGATTCTTTCTGAATTCTTTTTGTGAGGATTTCAAGAATTCTCTAATCACATTCGTTTATTGTAAATCTTTTATTTAAAATTAAATATAAACAGTATCTGACGCAAATTGACCGTACAATGTACGATAAACGGATGTGATTGGATTCGGAGACGATCCTCATTCTTCTCAGATCACCAATAAACGAAGAACAAGAGAGTCCATCACTTGAAATTACCAGAACTAAGGAGGGAAGATGATACAATAAATATTTGTGAGCTTGGGAATGGTGGCGGTTTGAAATTGGAGCTACGAGCTTTGCTCTGAACTTTTTCGAGCTGTTTTTTTTTTTTTTTTTTTTTTTTTTTGAATTGAAAATTGAATTTGATATGCGAAGATACATATCGCAACTTCAATTATTCTTCAATTTTTGATTCTTTGCTCAGTTCTGTAATTGTTTGATTTTAATTTTTAATAATGTTCAAATTATCATTCAGTTCGAAACGATCCTTGTACAATTTTATGAGTATTGTTACATTTATCATATATTTATATTAGCATTTTACAATCTCTTTAATAGAGATAGGGTCCACAAGCACATATGAGTCCATCTCTATTAGAGAGATAGTACAAATATATAGTAAAAGTTGCATATTTGTAAGTTTGGTTAATTTGATTGCTGGATTTTTAAAATCTGGTGTTTGGAGCTCCTCGATCATCCATGTTAATTTATGAAAAAAGGTAATTATTTGATTCTTCTCTTTTTTATTTATTTTTTATTTTTTATATTCTGATTTATGCTTTGGATCTTGTTATAGATCTTCAATTCGATTTGATGATATTATTTTTTATATTTTCTTTTTATATTTTTGTTCTTTTTCCGATTGTTTTCTTGTATTCGATCGTGAAGAAACAGTGAATGTGTATTAACAATAATTTTTTTTATTAGTTTGATTGAGTGTTTTGTTATGTTTTTTTTGGGTAAATTACATTTTACCCCACATGTTTGGGGTCAATTTCAATTCCTTACAACATCTTTAAAACATTTCAATTTCATACATTTAATTATCATTTTATTTCAATTTCATACATCCGTTAGAAAATCTGTTAAGTAAACCGTTAAGTGATGACGTGGCAAATATGGGGTTCATATTTGTGCAGAGATGACTGCCAAATTTGTGCTACGTGGCAAAAAAAATACTTTTTTATGCATTTAAAATATTAAATATTTATTCTATTTATAAATAATAATAATAATAATAATAATAAACCAATCAAACCCAGAAACCATTCCCCCTTCCCCCTCCCCCCTCCCCGATCCACTCCCTCTCATCCACCCCATCCCACCCCACCTCCACTTCCCCCGCAACCCCCCATCCCACCTTCTCCTTCTCCTCCATTCTCTTCTTCTTCTTCTTCTTCAGCAAGGATGCTGGGTTTAGTCATCGTCCACCGCGCATCATCGCCGTCCAAGCTCATGGCCAGGTCCAGGCTTGGCTCGTTGTCCACCGCGCACCGCTCAAATAACTTGGACGCCCGGACTGCGTACTCTAATGCCTTGTTTGGACATTTTCCAGAGGCAATTGTGTCCCGGGCCAGCTTGAGGAGAAACGGGCCGAGATCCGGGTTGTCTAGGGAGGCATCGGCGAGAATAGGATATGGGGAAGCGGGTTGGGGCCTTTTGGATCGGGCGGGTGAGGGTTTGGATAGGGACTGGGAATGGGACGTTGGATTTTTGGTGTGGGGGGAAGGGGTTTTGGAAACCAGGGCGAGTTTGGATTACTAGGGTTGAGGATCCGGGACCGCAATTCGGGGCGGGGCGGAGTCGGGCGGAGGGGGGTGGAGTTGCAGGGCAGGTAGGGGTAGGGTGGGATGAGGGGTTTGGGCTGCGAGGAAGGGGAAAGGGTCGGGGAAGGGTTTTTGGGTTTTTTTTATTTTTATTTTTTTAATAGGGTAAATTATTATAACATTTTAAATGCATAAACAATGATTTTTTGCCATGTGGTATAAATGTGGCAACCACGTTAGCTTTTAACGAACAAATGGATGGAAAATGTAATGAATGTATTATATTGAAATAAAATAGTACTTGAGGTATGAAAGTGAAATTTTTTGAACATGTTGTGTGATGTTACAATAGACCTAAAACATGAGGTGGTAAAGTATAATTTACCCTTTTTTTTTAGTCAAGCGATAGTTTAGTAAGCTACATGTTAGATTAGCTATTGACGGGTTCGAACCCACGCCGTTATGTTTAACTGTGTATAAACAGTGACCTTTAGTTAATTGTGTATAAACAGTGATTGTGTATAGCATTGATTGCATATAAACAGTGATTGTATTTATTTTTGTATTTTATTTTGATTTAGTCTTTTGTTGTATTTTATTTTTTTTTTTTTTTATAAAAACGATAATGTTGTATTCATTCAGGAAAAGACCAAAAGAAGTCTCAACCAAAGACCATAGTCAGTTACCTAGTATCCTCAATAAGGAGGTCAATGATAAAGCTATGAGGTTGAGCAAACCACTCACACTGGCTGCCAACATTTAAACCAAACCTAGCAAGTCTATGAGCAACCGTGTTAGCTTGGCGACAAACATGGGTGCATAATTCTTCAATGATCGCGTCGAGAATGTGTTAAACCCCACCCCTAAAACTAAGTGTAATTTCACATTTATATTTAACATTTATGAAATTACATAAGCACTATTGAGTTGTTACCCTATCTGGATCCCTTTTCCAGATTTCCTCTCAATTTCCCTCATCTCTCTGACTGCCATGTGGCACCACCCCTACCTTATTTCTTTATCTCATTCTTCTCTCTTCTTCCTCGGGAGTCAACTCTCACACTCTCTCTTTTACAGATATCTCTTTATCTCTCGTCTCAGCTTTCTCATCTTCTCTCGATGAACTTACACACACACACACACATGTACATACCTACACACCAACCACACCACCACCATCACCTGGACCTCCCCTCCTCGATCTCTCTCTCAGCACTATGCACATAGCTCTCCGGTGAGGTAAGTCAAGTTTTGCTTTAAATGCTACTATATCGGGTCTTTGTTAAGTGTTTGGGTAGTGTTTGGGTAGTGTTTGAAATTTATTGGTAGGGTTTGAACGTAGGAACACCTCGGAAATGCTCTCCCCATATTTTTCCAGCGAGAGATCGTAGGTTGTAGGCCATTTTCCAGCCAATCCCAACCTCGACACGACCTCATCTTGGTACAACTCGAATCTCTACTATTTTATCTTTAATTTGGCTTTAGAATCATGAATTTTGGATAAGTTTCGACCCTTAATCGGAATTTGGGGAGTTTTCTAGTTGGATTCCGGCTTTCACTGTCATTAGGTCCGGCAACCCTTTAGTGGAGTTGGGCCGACCCAACCCTTTTAG